TCTACTAAAAACAAAACAAACAAAAAAAAAACAACCACCCACAGCTAATAAATGAATTCACCAAGGTTGCTGTTACAGAGTCAGTGTGAAGAAACTTGCCCTCTCCTCCAGCTGGTTGGTGTGTCCCCGCCTGCCAATGCAGTCTACAGCTTTTTACTTCATCTGTGTCAGTACAGAAGAGATGGTCTTTCTCTAACACCAGCATATTCATAGATTTCAGTCTCTTTGGCAGTGTTTGCTCTGAAAGGCCAATTCCAGTTTTGTTTCATATGATAATCTTGGTGGGGATTCTTATGGGCCACTGCCTATGCAAGGGTATTTTTGTTTAGCTTTGTAGGTGTGGTATTTCTGGGTCATAGGGTGAGCGCGCAAGGTTTCAAGAGCTATTAGTAAAGCTCTTTCAAAAAGTAGTAAAGGATTTCTACCAGCATATTCATAGATTTCAGTCTCTTTGGCAGTGTTTGCTCTGAAAGGCCAATTCCAGTTTTGTTTCATATGATAATCTTGGTGGGGATTCTTATGGGCCACTGCCTGTGCATGGGTATTTTTGTTTAGCTTTGTAGGTGTGGTATTTCTGGGTCATAGGGTGAGCGCGCAAGGTTTCAAGAGCTATTAGTAAAGCTCTTTCAAAAAGTAGTAAAGGATTTCCTCTTTTCTTGGCTCATACAATGCATCTACTCACTGGTGAGTTCCAGGTTTAATGTAGGCTAGAAGCTGGCTCCCCATCCCCCAGTTGCATTACCTTAAGTTATTTAGCCTTTAAGGTAGTGATGGGTCCCAAACAAGATGGATGAGGATGAAGTGGTACAGGAAAAGATTCTGACAAGGCTACATGCTGAATATGAAGCCACAGGTGGCATCATAGAAGCTTCCCACCTAGAGGGGTATGTGCAAAATCGCCTGAGCTCTGGCTGCTGCTTAGCCCTACTCTTCTCCTTGCTTCACCTTTAGCTATTAGTGAGGTTCTCTGTTACAGATGGAAGGACTTCTGGAGAAGACCTCTGTACCTGGAAGCCCATCATCCCCATCTCTTTGGGGCAGAGATATCTCCTGTTCTGCTGACATTCCTTCTGATTGTAGCATGCTTAGATCCACCCCCCCCCACCAGGGATCTTGTTAAGATGCAGCTGTGATCCATTAAGTCTGGGGTGGGGCTGAGGTGCAGTACTTCTAGTAGGTTCCCTGGTGATAGTCAGTGCCTTTTGTCTATGGACCACAGTTAGAGAAGCAAAAGTCCTAGAGCAGTGGTTCCTAACCTCCTGAACCAGCCAGGGAACACCAAGGCATTTACATTGTTTGTCTCCACAACAAAACACGAAGCCATGTGTGGCATAATGCTTCATCCCGGTGTGCAGTTCCTATACTCATTTACCTGGCTTTTATAACATCACTTTTCCTTTCTCCTCCCCTAGGCATAGCTCCCTCACCCACGCTTCCAAGATGGCAATCCAGTTCCGCTCACTCTTCCCCTTGGCGCTGCCTGGAATGTTAGCACTCCTTGGCTGGTGGTGGTTTTTCTCTCATAAAAAAGAGCGACTCAACAGCAATGATAAGCAGGCCAAGGCACTGATGGCCAGCCCTGCCGTCAAGGACCCAATCCCCAAGGAAGAGGCCTGTCCTGGAGTTGTGTCCTTCCCCTCCAGTGTCACACAGCTACCAGAAAAGGAAGAACTTTCTGTGGGCAAGCCTTCCACGGAGCCCCCAGCCTTGCCATGGATGCGGTAGGTTTGCCATAGATCAGAGTCTTCAGGCAGCCTCTCCATCATTACAGACACAGGGTTGCAGCCAGGACCATGCAGAGATGACAGCACGAAAGTGGAACTTAGCCTGATGGGGGATGAGGCCAAATGTATTCCTCTTGAGTGTCCCCTTCCCCCAAAGGATGTGCCATCCCCCCATGAAGCAGTTGAAATGTATAAGCAAGAGTCTGCTTTGGGCAAGATGCCCAGGGGGCGCTGGCCTGGCCAGTCTG